TTGTTTAGGTATGTGTACGTCTGCAGTGACTCCAAATATGTGCATGTGTGCTAATTTTGGTTTCCTATTATACATCACTTCATATGGTGTCTTATTTACAATGCTGGACCAGGTTCTATTCTGTGTGTAATTGGAATAATGTAGGGCTTCTGACCAGAATTGTTTGCTTAAGCCAGCATCTTCCAATGTGCATCTAATCATGGTTTGTAATGTTGAGTTCTTCCTCTCTGCAATTCCGTTCTGAAATGCAGAAAATGGGCTAGATGTGTAATGTAACATTCCTTTGTCCTTCAGCCATTGGGAGAATTCTTTAGACATGAATTCCACATCCCCTATCTGTCATGATTTGTTTTATTTTGGTATTGTGTTGTGTTTTACGCGCTTATAAAATTCTTTAAATTTCTGAAAAGTTTCATCTTTATGTTTAAATGTATAAACAAATCCATAGCGACTGTAATCGTCCACTATGGTCAAGAAGTAACGTTTTCTATAAGTGATTGATGGAGTTAGTGGACCAACTAAGTCCATGTGTACTAAATCAAAAATTTTGTTGGTTGACCTAGTTGATTTCCTTGGCCTGGGGCTAGTTTTTAGTTTTGTAGATTTACATACTGAACATTCCAAATAGTTTTTCACAATTTTTTATTTTAACACCTTCTGCGTGTTCAGTCATTTTTTGTACTACAGGAAAACTGGCATGTCCTAACTTCCTATGTAAAATATGAGCACACTCATCATGAATTGGCTTACCTATTTTTGGTTTTTTTTCATTATGTGCATCTTTGTGATCATGAGCTATTTTACATTCATCATTGTCACTATTGCTAATGTTTTCATCATCTACTTCAATACAATCTTCCATATTTGAATCAATGTTATGCAAACATTTTTCTTTTGTTATTAAATAAGGTAGGCCCCCTTTAATCATCACTGTACCTATATCTATTTTATTTTTCTCCAAGGTCGCTTTTTTCCTTTTGAAAAGACAATGTTAATATCAGAATCCCTGCTTAGTTTTAATGGCACTTAGTATGTTATGAGTATTTCGGGTATTAGTAATACCCCCTCTATTTTTCCTAGGCCAGGTAAGGTTACATTCCCTCTACCTAATACTTGAACCTTTTCTTGGTTAGCTACCTTTATTACAAATTTATCTTCTACAAATGAAGATAGTATATTTTTGTTATTGGTGGTGTGATTAGTTGCTCCAGAATCAATAAGCCAATTATTGTTCTCTGTTTGCTGTATGTTAGTGTTGTCTTGTTTTATTTAATCCATTCAGTGAACCAGATTTTCTATCCTTTGAATTATTTCTGCCCCCTCTATTCTCTTTGTAATTTGGCGGGCTTCTATATCTATGTCTATCAATGGAAGACTGTCTATAGTTTGTATTTGTTTCTGTATTCTGACCTATGTCTTTCCTTTGAAATTTTGGGGCAATCTCTTCTATTGTGTTCCCTAGATCCACAGTTGTGGCATCTAAATGCTTCATTATATTTTTCTTGAAAAGCTACTTTTCTATATGGTTTGTGTTCTGTGTGATTGTTAGAGCGACTCCTCCTTGAATTGTCTTCAGCTATTAACTTATTGGATAGACTTTCTATGGATAAGTATCCTAGATTGATTGTGTCTAAATGTGACATATAATTATCCCATGATGGGTCAAGTGAGTTGATGATAACACTTTTCATTGTTTGATCTGAAATCACCTCCCCCCTTAAATGCAGTTCAGCTCTTATTTTGTTTAAAGATATCAAGTGCTCACTTATGGAAACCCCTGGTTTTAATCCTAGATGAAAAGAAATCTTTAGACATCCTTGTGGTAGTAGCTACACTGTCACTGTGAAATAGATTGAACATGCATTGAATAATTTCTGAAACAGTCAGATTTTGCTTAATGCTGTGATACATAGCAGGAGATACACTAGAAATTAATAAGAAAAATGCTCTATGGTGTAAACAGTCTAATTTTAGAGTCCAAGGTCTTTTTGGGGACTAGTGATAAAAAACAGTAAGTTTTCTTTCATAAAGACAACCTGGAGCTGCTGATACCATTCTTGTAAATTAATGCCATCTATCCTCAGCTTTGGAAGTCACTGGGCAAATTTCCGACATTATTAGGTCCATTACTTACAACCTGAGGTAGTCCGTGGTCTCGTAAATGCAGAAAGTTACAAAACGGCGTGGGATGCTCGCGACGAGCCTGCACGGTCTTCTCAGCAATTCATATTTTCCTGGGCCGTCTGCGTAGTCTTGCGCATGCGCGTTGTCCATTTCGTCCCTGAAGTCGTCGTGAGAGGTTCTCGTCGTTGCAGCTCGCTCGTTCTGCTCCTCCTCAGACGAATCGGTCTCTGGCTCGATCTTGGGAGTCCTGACGATGTTGGCTGTTCTTTTTCTTCTTTTGAGAGCGTTGGTGCTTGCATCGGTCCTGTGGCGTGGGGCGGTATCGGCAGGGCTCTCTGGGTTCGGGCGTCAGCGCTCTCGTAGTCAGGATGGGAGCGGAGTTTTTGAGGCATTGGCTTGCTCACTTGCTTCTTAGTTAGCTTTTTGGTAATTTTTAGTTTTGGCCCAATGCAGCAAAAAGCATTTTCATTGCTGATTTTATCTGATTATTTGTTGAATCACCTTCACTTTCCGATTCTGATTCTTCTGAGGTGTTTGAATTTTTTCTTTTTCGTTTTTCGTTGTCTGGTAATGTTTTTTCGCGCCAGAAATTTTGAATCGAGTTTTCTGATTGGCTCTGCTTCGCTCACCCTGGAGGTCTGTTTGAAACCAAGATGGCTGCCATTCAAAATTTTGCGCGGGATCACCGTTTTTCTTCTTCATGGTAATTTTTTTCTGCAGTCATATCACTCACTATTTTGGGTCTTTTGTTTTTCCAGTAGTGATGTGCTTCTCTCTCGCTGCTCCGCTGTTTTTCAGCATATCTTGGAGGTTCGCGATGAGGCTTTCATCATTTTTCTGGCTCTTTAATAGTTTTAATATCTCTGACCTGAGTTCGTTGTTTTCTATTTTGATTTCCTCCTGATCATCATTTCATCTATTATTTTCTTCGTCTTCAGTGGTGTATTCTTCGGATTCTCTCGAAATCGCGTTTGTTGATTCGTCGATTATTTTCTTGATCCGTTTCCATTTCTTTGCTGTATGCCCTGGTGTTGGGCCTATCTCTCTTAGACATTCTTTTAATTTTTTTATTGAGTCAATTAACCATCCTCTGCTACCAGCTTGTTGCAATATTTTCAGGATCAGACTCAATAAATCTAGTAAGAGTTAAGATTTCAAATATATCTCTTTCTTTATTTACACAAGGCATTCTATATTCACTGAATATTCACAGATAGAAGCGAGGAAATGGATGCATACCAGCTCCTTATATATACAATGGTGGAGCTAGGTGTGGGAGTGTGAATTATGAATACATTAAGAAGTGAAGAATAAATTAACCCCTGGTACCCCGTTCATATACTATTTACACATTAGAGAATAAGGCATTTACATGTGACAGCTTCAATATAATCAGTGATTCCCAGTCCTTTATTGTATCAAAGTCAAAATAAGTGCTTTGGTCTTTAGGCCTTTCTTTGCTTGTTGTTCCTCGCTAGTCTTGAAAATCTGTGAGCATCCTTGGATGCTCTCTCCAGATGAAGTGCTGGCATGTAACCAAGTAGACTATCATTTTAAAGATGTTCCCTCAACTCTAATTTTAAAATCAGATAAGCACCTTTTTATTTCCACCACTCTAGTTTGTTTTAACAATTAAAATTCTTCTGTAATCTCTCAGATCTGTTCAGCCTACTTTTTAATTTTCTGTTGTTTAGATGCTATGCCACTTCATATTTCTTTATTTTACTATTCCTATTGTATTTTAAAATATATTTTATTTCAGTGTTATAATTGATCAACTGTTTTTTATTTATTAATGGAGAGCTGATTAATGTTATGAAGAAAATAATATAGCAAATCATAAATGGTAATAAAATGAGTACATTATTTTATAGCATAAAGTATTGTGCTACTCAGGTGTGCTGAGGTTTAGACTGAATTGTCACTTGGATTGGGTTATTTTCGCTTCTACATTCAACCATATATATTTAGATTTCAATACAATCTTTACTCAAAAGAACTTGGCACCGAGAAAACTAATCTTGAGATAAATGTGTAAGTTGACTTTGTGCATATTTTTTTTTCTCTATCAATTGCTACCCCTGCAGTCAGAGAGGACAGGAATATGGAAATCAAAACTGAATATGGAAATTAAAGAATCTCTCTCTTTTGATATCTTTGCTACAGTCTCTACGAAGTTGAACACGGAATGTAAGATATCCTATAATTTTTAGTTTGGCTATTGTACATGCTAGGCATTGTCCTTGTATTTTAATGTAGCGTTACTCCCATAGATTTATTTCTATATTGGGGAAAACAAAACAAAACAAATCATTGTTTATAGCACTGATTCATTTGAGAAGATGTTATTGTCAGTTCACTCTTCCATATTTTATCAATTATTTTCCAAGTGCAATTTACAGTATTTAAACTAGGCCTTCCTATCCGTGTGCTCTTCTTTATGCAGCTGTTTAAATATTAAGTCCTTAGGATAAGGACTTTTTCAAAATGCCCATACATCAAGCATGTGAAAGAAAATTTTCTGTGAGAGCCCCAAACAATGAAATACAGTCTCTGGAATTTGCATTTGATCTGACAATCTTTTCATTCAGGCATTTTCAACCTTTTGAAGGTATTGAGGGAGAGACATAAATTGCATAAATCTACTTGTTTAGAGAAGAAGACAAGAACAAAACCATCAACAAATAATTTCTTCATATAGAAAGCTATATATTTATGGTCAATGGCTTATCAAAGACAACAATTTTTCTGCTCATGCTAGTTCTGGACAATTAAAGTTGCTTACTGACATGAAAAGGAGAAATCAGATCATATACCTTTATGACATTGTTAGATCAGCATATGAAAAAGGATCAATGAAGGGAAATCAAGCTTACTTTTCCACTGGTTGTCCTGCAGGTATGTGCTCCACTTCAAATCCTGCTTGTCTCAGCACATCAATAACAGTGTTGTTGCCCAGGAAATGACCTAATCGATGAACAATAATAACAGAAAACCATTTGAAAAGCCAATGAAGCACATCTTCAATTATGCTCTAACTCTGATCAGTCATTCTTTTCTAAAATAAAGATTTCGTTTAATGTTAGATTTATAGACAAAGCTATCCAAAAGGATTTGAGTAATCATAAAGCAAAAATACCAATCAAGCAACTAATCAGCATCATGATTTTCCTATTTATTTTCCTATTTCCTACTTCATTGCTTGGGGATTGGGGCACTATATTGAAAAGTTCTTGATGTTGAGCATTCCTTCGGCGACTTGCAAAAATTGGGAAAGAAAGCTTCTAGATAGCTTCATGTAGAAACTTTTTGAAACATATGGACAATGCATTTTGGCATATACTGTACTGTGATGAATCATCAGTTGTCTCAGTGTAGCTAGGTACAATTTCATAATTTTTTATATGGCAAGGGACATACGGAGCTGAAGAAGCTCTTGGCTTAGAAGCTAAACGTCTTCAAAGAAAAACCAGAAAGTCCAGTTGCCTCTTGAAAAAGCGCTTTTGGGACAACCATGACCTGGATGATTGAGAATCTCCATAGACAGGGGAAATAGTTAAATGTAAGTCATCTGGTTTACATTCATTGCATCAGCTTCAGTGTTTCATGTCATTAGTGTGAGGTAGGAGGCCTTTTTTTATCCTCTTCCCAAACGGTTCAAGATGGAATAATTTCATGATCATTTCTATATATCTCCAATCCAGTCACCATCTAGATCAGTGTTGGCGAACCTTTTTGGCACTGAGTGCCAAAACTGGAGCAGCGCTTGCGCACGTAGGGGCAAAACCAAAAACCAGAAGAGCAGCTCCCTGGGGTACATGTGCATGCCAGAAAGCTGACTTTTCAGTTTCCGGCGTGCATGGCAATGCATGCATGCGTGAAGACCAGCTGGCTATTGTGCACACCTGGAAGAGCAACGGGGACACATGCACACCAGGGAGCTGCTCCAATGCGCATGAAGACCAGCTTGCTGGCATGCATATGCGCACCGGAACCCAGAAGAGCAACGGGCGATGGCTGGCATGCCTGGAGAGATGGCTCTGTGTGCCACTTCCGGCAGTGTGTCATAGGCTTCTCCATCACGGGTCTAGATTATTCTTTTCTATCTGTACAATAAAAGATCTTAAACAGTACATTCACATATACTGTACTTGTATATGTGTATACAAGTACACAAAATTGTATACACAAAATACAATATATACTTGTACACAAAATTACATAAAACCATTTTTTTAAGCTCCCCACACAATCTTTCTTCAAAACAACTTCTATGGCTGGACTTAATGTTTGGGTCTAATTATGGAGGCTAATTTATAAGGCTGAGTTTAAAGTCTCCTTCCAAGGAAATGTATTTCTTTCTTTTTATTATTATTATTAAGGCATTTATCGAGTCATAAGAAACAGTTCCATAAAAATATTAGGGATTATTTGGTCTTTGCCTTTTCTTGCAGTATGAAAGAATAAACCTCAGAGACTTAATAAGCAATCTATTATTTGCATTTTGCTTTTAAAATTGTTGCTGAATGAAGAAAATTATTTACTCTAACTCAGATTTTTTTACTTCTGAAATAGGTCATATTTCTGTTTTATATCTCTGTTACATCAATGGCCAAAAGTGGAAAAAGGTGAAAAAAGAGGATGGTTTAACATAACAACTCAATTTCAAAAGATGACTTTAAAATTGCATCTGCAGTAAAAGCACAGAACCCATATATGATGAAAGCCAAATTATAGAAGAGTCCAATTTTCTATCAGACCGAGATCCAAGTTCTCCAGGAGAGTGGCATAAAGATCTATTAATAATCTCAGCAATCACAAATGGGAACTGATATTGATAGTTTTTATTAAAGAAGCATTTTGAAAATTGACTTCAGCAGTATATTTATATGCTGGAAAGTGTCAATATATACTCTTGCTCTTGTCAGATGTAGTTTCAAACAGTATTTCATCTGCTTCAATTTACAACATTCTCTCTGTTGATATATTTCAGATATTTTGGGAAGGTTACAGTTGTCAGCTACAGGTATACCTCCTAAAGTAACTGGATAGTTAATATACAAATCTAAAGTCTCTGTAACACTATGTTCTGTGAAGCACAATGCTGTAATTAGATGGTTTTCTATGCTAAATGTAGTGTAGAGACCCATTTTAAAATGTAATAAGCCCATTTTACTGAATGTGAAGGTATTCTTGCTTGCTTTGCTAAGGGAAACCCTTGCACATTTGGCCCAGGTCCCGCATTACTATAGCTGCTAAGAATAACAACTAAAAAGATTAGATCAATTGTCCTACATTTTGCTTACCAGTTACCAACAAGACATCTAAGGCAGTGGTGAAATCCAACTTTTTTTACTACTGGTTCTGTGGGCGTGGCTTGGTCAGTATGGTGTGCCTTGGTGGGTGTGGCTTGGTGGGCATGGCAGGGAAGGATACTGCAAAATCTCCATTCCCACCCCACTCCAGGGAAAGAATATTGCAAAATCTCCATTCCCACCCCACTCCAGGGAAAGAATATTGCAAAATCTCCATTCCCCCTCATTCTGTGGCCAGCCAGAGGTGGTATTTGCCAGTTCTCCAAACTACTCAAAATTTCCATTACCGGTTCTCCGAACTGCTCAAAATTTCTGCTACCAGTACTCTACACCCTGTCATAACCTGCTGGATTTCACCCTGATCTAAGGGTCGCCAAGAAGAAGACATGAGTTTAATAACACCTGTTCATCACTGTGTATCTGACATTCATTGTGACCTCATTCATTCTACCAATCATAAGCATGGTTTCCAGCAGCATATCATTTGTTAATTTATAATCCAATTTGAGTTATTTTCAGGAAGTGGATTCAGTTACTACTTCCCAAATTGGATACAATGAAGCAATGGGCATTAATAAAAAACCACTACAATCAAGTCAAAAATCATTAGAATCAAGTCAAAAGTTATTAACATTCCACAATGGATCAGGTTCAATACAACAATACAAATGTTCTTTACTTTGGTACAACAGTTGGGAAAAAAATAGGACTATTCTGGAAAATAATTCAATAAACCAAAGTTTCTCATTCACAAGGGTGCCATTCAGGTGATACATTCATCTTACCACATGGCAGTCCTTCCCTTCTAACAACCCTACTGTCCATTGTGCATGGTGAACACTCCAAATGAATGCATTTATCTGAGCTCATATAAATATGTGAGTGGTAGAAGCAAGAAGGGTGCTTTAAAAAATGTTTTATATTTTATCTGACTCTGGAGATTCTCTCCAAATGTCTTTGCTTGCTTGCTACGCATTCACAGACCCAGAAAATTAAAGAGTAAAGTTATTCAAAAGAGGAACAGATAATTCATTTACAAAAGGCCTCCACCAATAATGTATTTGACACTCTATAAAAAGGGGGGGAAACCTTCTCAATCTTGCCAAGCTATTATCTGCACACAACTGAAAGTCAAACTGTTCCCATACACAATTCTAGCAAAGCCATTTTCTGCAAAATTAAAGGACCCATACGGCCAATTGTTTTCCTCAAAACAAATCAGATGTTTTCAACCTTTTAGCTTCTTTAGTTTGCAGAGTCTATATTCTTGGTCCCTGTTGGCCTCAATTAACAGATTCCAACAATTAGCAAAGCTACATGTTTACTGCACAGGCAGCTTAAGCAACTGGAGTAAAATAGAAAGAAACAAGTTCTGTAGAAAATAGTTACTGGCACTTTTTGGTTCCTTCTTCAAGTTTTGCATTTTTAAAAAGGTCACATATAATTGGCCGAGATATCCATCTAACTGAAAGATATCAGAATGTTACTGTGCATGCTCTAGGCTGCTTGTCAGGACATTTTGATATGTTTATCTTTAATTAAGAAGCATGAATAACTCAAGCCCAGCATAAAAAAAAAAAAAAAAAAAGAGGAGCTGCTTCTAGAAGAGGTCTTGTGCAATTCCTTTGCTTATACAATTCTCCACTGCTGAGAAAAAGAAATCTTAAAATTGGAAAAGTTAACATTTTTGTAGTATCTGTGACTGATGAACCAAAGGACTCATAATATTTCTTTTTCTTATGATATAATTTAGCCATGGTATGGTGTAATTAAATGACTGTTGAATGGAACCGGATCTTGAGAAAGTTATATTTGCATTAACCCATAGTCTGGAACTAATGGGGACTAAATTCCAAGACATCTGAAAAGTAACAAATTGTCAGTGTTTATTGTAAGCTATTGTGCTCGTTCATTTGCGTTCTCACTTTGTGTAAATATTATGCAAATAGTCATGACTACAAACTTGCATTCATACTTGCATTACCCATTACAAAGGCCTTTCATTGAAGACAGCAAAGATGGCAAGATATATTGGCTACCCTTATTACTATTCTACCAATTTCTGCAAATGCAACATTTCTATCAGACAGAGAAAAGACAGATTTATCCACTGGCTTGCTTTGCATAGTATATGATTTGTGGGGAGTGATGTGGGGTTCTTAGGTCCATGTCATTTCTGCTGGGAAATTCACAATAATGTGAGTAACTCAACACTCCATGCAACCATATCATTTCAGATCGGTATCAGTAAGTAAGACTGCAAAGTGCGTGCGCGAAGAGAACCGGTGGTAACACTGATTGAACCAGGGTGAAATCTAAACTTTTTTTGCTACCGGTTTCTGTGGGCGTGGCTTGGTGTGGTGGCTTGGTGGTCATGTGACTGGGTGGGTGTGGCCAGTTTGACATCATTCATATCACTCTGCTGTGCATGGGGCGCTTGGAGAGCGAGCGAGCAAGACAGCTTTCCAACCTCTGTGTGTGTGTGTGTGTGTGTGTGTGTGTGTGTGTGTGTGTGAGGGAGCGAGCTATCTGAAGCCGAGGCATCCAAACACCTGGCAGCGGCGGGGGCAGCTTCTGAGCAGCCAGCTCCACCTGACCTAATCCCTGAGTCTTGCTGTTCTCATCGCCCCCACCTCCACCCCACTCAAGCAG